TTAATCTAGAAGTGAGGCTTTGTCCAAGATCCTGCTGGATTCAATACTCCTGAGAAGCTAAAGACTTGACAACACCCATTAATGTTCACACAAAGATGCTCTAAAAAATGTAATCCATGTTGGATATGTATTTCCAGATTACGTACAAAAGATGAATAAAAATATTCCCATAAATCTATGAGTTTTAAAATTGCTTTGTTTACAGATTTTCCTAACTTTTTGATGTTAAGTAATGTTTGCTTTTTTGCCTTTTTTGCTAGCCTTTATTTTTAAATTAATTATTAAAAGCTCTTAAACATGTCCCAAGACTTAGACATCTCTTTAATTTGATTTTTATTCTTGTTCTTGCTATTAAATGCTAGAATTATATTTTCCTCAACTATGTAATTATTGCTTTCTCTAAGAACTTTTAAAACTCAGAGCCTTGGATTTGGTTGTTTTTAATTAGAATTTAATAGAACAATAGCTGAGGAGTGTTTTTGTCTTGTTTTGTTTTGTTTTTGCATATTTTCCAGGTTTTAAAGGCAGACAAAATGCCTCAGAATTTAATGACATGCATATACTTAAAAGGAGGCATAGGAGGTAATAAATTTTATATTTAACATAATTAATTGCTTGGCTAATCTTTGGAAGTTTGAATAAAATATCTCCATAATTTAACATTAATTTCCATTGGATAATGCAATGAATAATGTATTATGCTTTGTTAACTACGTATCTTTTGATAGGAATAAAAGTAAGCAAGAACTAGAGAATAAGGTTTACCCATAGAGTTGATTATAGAAAACTAAAAATAACTTTCACATAGAAAATGGTATAAATAATTCAGTTAATGTTAATAGTCATATCTAATAAATACCAAGGGTTTTTAAATTATTTTTTCTGAGCTTAAATATTAACATCAAATCAAACTTTATTTCTTTTTTTTTTTTAATTTTTTTTTTTTTTTAGTGTTTTATTTATTTCTAGGAGAGAGAGAGAGACAGCGTGAGCAGGGGAGGGTCAGAGAGAGAGGGAGTCACAGACTGAAACAGGCTTCAGGCTCTGAGCTGGCAGTCAGCACAGAGCCCGGCGCGGGGCTCGAACCCACAAACCGCGAGATCATGACCTAAGCGAAAGTCAGACACTTAACCGACTAAGCCACCCAGGCGCCCCAAACTTTATTTCTTTTTATGTCTTTTTGTAAATGTTTCAGTGTATAGCAAAAAGTAATGCAATATCTTCCTTTATAAAGCATAATATCTGATACATTGTGGGAAACATGGCTATAAAATCCATATTAAACGAAATAAATTATAGTATTATACGTAATACTAATTATATAGTATATATAATTACTTAGCCTAGTAATTTTCAGGGAGCTTTATTAACTTTTAAGGGCTGAGTGGAGAGTTCGAAGATCGCTGTTTGATTGGTACAGATAAGAGCTGTTATTGGCAGTATTTACAATATTACAGGTTTTCCTCTTTGCAGATATGAAAGCAATCATCTATAAAGGTTATTTAGGGAAAAAAAAGCTCACTAAAGCAGTAGGGAGCATATCTTAATATTTCTCAGCCATACTGTGTTTTTCTACACTTATAGTATGATACATGCAATTTAAAACTTTTACCATTCTTGTTGACTTTCGTTAGGCACTTTATGGGTACATGAAATAGTAACATGATTCCGAATGGTCAACAGTACAAAAAGTGTCATTCTAGTATGTCCCATTCTCACCCATCCTCTCAGGGAACGAAAAATATCTCCTTAGCTTCTGATTTATCCTTGCTATGTTTCTTCCTACACAAACAAATAGTATATATTTTTTAAAAAATTTTAATATTTATCCATCCTTGAGAGACAGAGTAGGGGAGGGGCAGAGAGAGGGGGAGACACAGAATGTGAAACAGGCTCCAGGCTCTGAGCTGTCAGCAAAGAGGCTGATGCAAGGCTCAAACTCCGGAATAGCGAGATCATGACCTGAGCTGAAGTTGGACGCTTAACCAACTGAGCCACCCAGGTGCCCCTGTTATGTATATTTTTTTAAATCCTCATTTTCTATGAAGAGTACTATAGTGAAGATATTCTTTACACCTCACCTTTTTCTTTTTTTTTTTAATGTTTTTATTTATTTCTGAGAGAGAAAGAGAGAGCGTGAGCAGGGGAGGGTCAGAGAGAGAGAGAGAGGGAGACAGATTCTGAAACAGGCTCCAGGCTCTACCTAGCTGTCAGCACAGAGCCCGATGCGGGACTCAAACCCACGAACTGTGGGAACATGACCTGAGCCGAAGTTGGACACTTAACCGACTTGAGCCACCCAGGAGCCCCAACACCTCACCTTTTTCAATGACTTACACAAATAAAATAAAGATAGTTTATGTACAATTCTTTAATTTTAATATATGTACAGACTTTCGCAACCACTGTGGTAATAAACATCAGCCCTGATTCTACTGTGTGTTACCCCTTTGCAATAACATCCTCTCCCATCTCTAACGCTGGCCTCTTCTGTTCTCCCTAACTATAGTTTTGTGTTTGTCAGAATGTCATATCAATGAAACATATGGTTTTTAACAATTTGAAACCAGCATCTGTCACTCAGTGTAATATCTTTAAATTTTATCAAAACTATTTATGCATATCATGTTTATTCATTGTTTCTGATTAATATTGTTAGGTGGGTGTGACAGGGTACACTGGCCCATTCACTCACTGAAGAACATCTGTGTTATTTCCAGGTATTGGTGATTATGAAAACAGCAGCTATAAAAAGTTATGTACAAGTGCTTGTGTAAACATGGGTTTTCATTATTCTAAAACACATATATAAGGTAGAATTTCTGGGGAAATAAATTAGTATGACTATACAAAAAACCACCACCTCAACTGTCCAAAGTAGCTACACCATTTTGCTTACCCACAGCCAATTTATGCAAGTTCCATTTTGCTCTGCATCCTCACCCACACTTAGTATTATTATCATTTTTCATTTTAACCATTCTATTAGGTGTGGAATAGTATCTCACTATAGTTTTAACTTGTGTTTCCCTAATAGTTAAGAATATTGAGCTTGGTTCATATGCCTAATTGTTTTCCATGTGTCCAATCTGATGAAGTTTCTCAAGCCTTTGATTTTTTTTAATTGGGTCATCTGTTAACTTACTATTGAATTTTGAAACTTCTTTATATATTCTGTATTAAAGTCCTTATTCAGATATGTTATCTGCAAATATTTCCTTCCAACTTGTAGCTTTTTTTTTCATTCTCTTAGTATCATTTTCTTTACTTTTTTACAGCATTTTAGGCATACATTTTATTTCTATGAAATACAATTTGTCCATCTTTTTTTTAGTGCATGTACATTTTTGCTTGTAGTTAGCATTTCCACATAGTCAGACTAAGGAAGAATTCACCTGTGTTTTTTTTTTTTTAATGTTTTATTTATTTCTAGGAGAGAGAGAGAGAGAGACTGAGTGAGCAGGGGAGGGTCAGAGAGAGAGGGAGATATAGACTCTGAAACAGGCTCCAGGCTCTGAGCTGGCAGTCAGCACATAGCCCGACGCGGGGCTCGAACCCACCAGGAACTGCAAGATCATGACCTAAGCGAAAGTCAGACGCTTAACCGACTACGCCACCCAGGCGTCCAGAATTCACCTGTTTTCTTATAAAATTTGGTCAGCTGTTTATTTTTATTTTTAGAGCCCTGAGCTCTTTGATATTTAGCCATGTACAATGGTGTGAGAGTTGGATCTGATTTTATCCTTGTCAAATGGGCAGCCCAAAAGATCTGAGATGCTACCCTCATCTCATATTAAACTGTCATATATTTTTAGTTGTAATTCTGGACACCTGTTTCCCTGGTTAGCATGACTATTCATGCATCAGAACCATGCTAGTTTTCTTTAAATTTTTAAAAAATATTTATTTATTCTTTGAGAGAGAAACCATTAACAGGGTAAGGACAAAGACAGAGAGACAGACTCTGAAGCAGGCTCCAGGCTCTGAGTTGTCAGGCACAGAGCCTGATGCGGGGCTTGAACTCACGAATTATGATATCATTACCTAAGCCAAAGTTGGATGCTTTTTTATAAAGGCATCCTTTTTTTAAAATATATTTTTATTATTTATTTATTCTTTGAGAGAGAGAGAGAGCACAAGCCAGGGAGAGGCAGAGAGAAGGAGACACAGAATCTGAAGCATGCTCTAGGCTCTGAGCTGTCAGCAGAGAGCCCAACAAAAACCATGCTGTTTTAATTATGAAGAATCTTTATTATAATACCTGTAGGTTTATTGTCTTTCAAAGACTTTCTTTTTAAGGAATATTTTATGTCCACTTTTGCATGTTTTTCCGTGTGTATTGCAGTGTCAACTTGTTTATTGTACAAAAAATATTTTTGAATATCAAGTTATTAGTGAGTTTCTAATTTCTCCTGTAAAAAATTTTTGTTTTATAAAGATGGCTGTTGCATTACTTGAGGCACAGATATTTATAATTTTTGTATTTTCATTATGAATTTTGTCTTATAGACATAAATCATGTTCTTATTTCATGTGAATGGTTTTAGCTGTAAAGCCATTTTGATATTAATATAACTATACTTGGTTTATCATGGTTACCATTTGCCTAATATATATCTGTCCATTTTTCATTTTTTAGCATTTTGGGGAAAAAATTAGGTGTGGATCTTGTAAGACATATAGTTGTTTCCTACTTAAACAAACCAAAAATGTTTTTAATAGATGAGTTAAACCTATTCACATGTATTGATGTGATATATTTGTTTCAATTATCACCTTACTTTGATATAGCTATTATATGCATTTTGTTATATTTGATGCTTATATCTCTATGTAATGTGTTTCTTTGCATTTTTATTTACTAAATTTGTTTTGACACTTAAGAGGTTTGCACTTTTGTTCTTGGCTACCTTTACATGAAAACATTTTTAATGTCCTTATGTCTCCATTTTCTTATTTAATCTTTTACTAACTTGTTTGTTGATTTATGATGGTATACATTTTTAATGGAATATTTCAAAAATTTATGTGTCATCTTTGCACAGGGGTCATGCTTTCCTAATCTTCTCTATATTATTCCAGTTTAGTATATGTGCTGCCTAAATGAACACTATAATGGTGTCCTTAATCAGTAAATCTAATGCTTGTACCACAGCCAATAAATATATGCTAGTTTTTTCTTCCCCTATTTCCCTTCCTTTTTTGTAGCAGTATATCGTCAGACACATGTAACATACATCATACAATGCATTTTATTCCAACCTCATTCATACATTCTTTTCAGTCTTCAATCTAGAATTAAGTGTAGAAAATGTCTAACGTTAGTCTTTTTGCTGTTATTGTCTCTTGATTGGATGAAATTCATCTTCTAATAGATTCCTACAATTCCTTAAAATCTTGCATATTTAATTTTTTCAGGTAACTTTGATTGAAGAAGTTTTACTCTTTATGAAATTCTTTGTTCACAATTACATTTGAGTTTTCTGAAAATGTTGATCCCTCTCTCAAATTGTTCTTGTTCACCATAAATAGATGTGATGGAGCATGGCCATTAGATTGTTGGAATGTGCTATTTATTTTTTCACTTACAGCAAAGTTAAATTGAGGATGCCCTCTTACATTTATCCTAAGAGCATGAATGGATATTTATAGTTTTATTTGTTCTTATTTTTCTTTTTTTTCTATTTTGAAGGCATGAAAAGGACATGTTGCAAGATTTATATTCACATAACCGCCATCATTATTATAATAATTCAGAAAATATGTAAATGACATTATTTTGCTACTAAATATGGAGATAAACAAAAAATTTCTAGGTCATTGTCAAATCAGTAGTTATTTTGTACTGTAACTTGCCGGAGATAGTGACACCTCTAGCTGGTTTTTTGTGCTCATATAGCACCAAGGGCAATGCACCTCATGTAGATGGACTTAATGAATGCTTATTGACTGAATACATCCTAGCTGTTGCTGCAGAATTAGTCAAAGACCTAATCCTAGAGACTATTCATACAAAATCAATCCAGTACACCAGAAATGATGCTTGGAAAATGTTCTTTTTCTTGGCAATGTAATCTTAAATGTATGCCAAAAACCTAACAGTCACTAAGAAAAGGGAATCATGGAGGTCCAATAGCTGATTTTGTTCTTGGTTTGTGTGATACATACAGAAGGGTCTTTCTTACAACAATGGATAAGCCTTCATTATCCACCTAATTGCTTTGAGGCAGCCTCCCTCAACATAGGCTATTCTAAATCTCAAATGTCTGCAAGGAATGGAAGAACCACTCAGCCTGTAAAGTAGAACAATAAATAATTACTATCATTTTGCTCTTTCAAAGCCTTGCTACTCATTAAACAATGATGCTAGGATGAGCAGCATCAACAGCATAACTTAACGATTTATCAAAATCACAAAATTTCATGTCCCTTCACAGATCTGACTAAATTAGAATCTGCATTTTACTAATACCTGGAGTAATTCATATGCTTATTAAAGTTTGAGAAGCACTGCTTTATATGAATGGAAAAAATTTAAAAATAATTTTTAAAACATAGTAACAAAAGATATAGAAAGAAGAAAAGTAAAAAATCAACACTGTCTACAGTAGAGTGAATCTAATCATAGTATATTTAATCAACATCAAGCTAAAAGATGAAAAGGCTAAGATAGAGCACATTTTTTTTTCAATTTAATGCTTATTTACTTTTGAGAGAGAGAGACAGAGAGAGAGAGAACAAGCAGGGAAGGGACAGAGAGAGAGGTAGACACAGAATTTGAAGGGATATGGGGCTGAAACTCAAGAGCTGTGACATCATGACCTGAGCTGAAGTCGATGCTCAACCAACTGAGTCACCCAGGGGCCCCAGATAGAGCACATTTAGACACCAGCTCTAGGTTCAAAATTCAAAGCAACTGAGAAAGGGACAAGTTCTTCCTTTTCTAGGTATCTTTCCCTAGATCTATAATCATACATTTGCATGAGATGCTTAGGGATCTATAGAAAACAAAAGATTTTCATTCTGGACCTAAAAACAGCAAACCATATGAATTTGAAAAACTTAATTTGTCTCTGAGCATCAGTTTTCTTATGTGTGAAATAAAATGGTTGGCTAACTATTATTAGTTTGACAATAATATGAATATTGTCCTTTACAAAAAAGAAAAATGGTGTCAACTCAGACACTATTAGAAATGATGTTCTTCCTTTCTTCCTTCATTCCTGCTTTTCCTGTTTGTAAAAAAGTCTCAAGGGCAGGAAACATTTATTTTTAAATCTTCAGAATCAAGCATAATAATGGCTCATGGTTAGTTCACAAATGATGTTGGTGGATCAAACTGATAAAAGATAATCACCAACATTGGAGAATTCAGGTAATTCTTGCTTAGTAGGTATCTGGTGACCTCTTTTAGTGATAATTTTTTCCAGGTGTTAATTCACTTTTGGATGTTTACTAAAGTTTACAACAAGCTAAGATGTAAAGACAGATATCATTCTAGCTTAAGGCTATTAATGTACAACTCATTTATTAACTTTTTGTTTTCTTTTCAGAATATTTTATTTTGTGCAAATGTACAAGTCTGAAATGAAAGTATTTACAAAATATATTAATTTCCTGTTGTTACATGCCTATATTTAGACATAAATGCAAACACAATTCCATCTCTAATTAACTGGCTTAAAGTTAACTATGATAAAAATAAACATTAGTAAATGAAATCATTAAATAAATAAAAATATAAATATTTCAGGTGATCATTATTGACCTCTCTACAAATATTTGTTAGTATAGATTATTTTTCCCAAATGTTTATTTATTTTTGAGAGAGAGAGAAAATGCAAGTTGGAGAGGGGCAGGGTGAGGGAGACAGAGGATCCAAAACAGGCTCTGCACTGACACCAGTGAGCCTGAAGTGGGATTAGAACTCAGAAACCGTGAAATCATGATATGAGCTGAAGTCTGATGGTCAACCAATTGGGACACCCAGGAGCCCCAATAGAGATTATTTCTAAAACCTGGACTAGCTGCATGTAGAATATGTATCTTTGGACCTATAGTCCTACTGCAAGTGTTGTAGTGATACACATCAAAGCCCAAATTATTTTAACTTATATGTGCATGCATCTGTATTGATATTTCAGGATGATCTCTAATATGCCTAATTTTATTCCAATATTGATACAGATACTAACACATAAAGACTTAATACAATGACCTATAAGGTAGTCAAATGCAATAACCTAGAATCACTAATAATCATCTTGTGGTAGTTGGCTTGACATCCATCTACTTATTAATATCCTAAAAATGGGTAAAAATATGGAAGCACCTTCATTTAATCTCAAAATATTATCAGATTTCATTTTCAGCATAAAAACAGGGCACTCAGAATAAAGAGTAAGCTTGTTAGTTTTATTACTGATAAAAAAAGAAAGACGAAAATACTAAAATACACTTTTCCTCCAACTTTGCAATTCATAGAAATGTGTCTAGTAGTAGGAATGAATTCTGATGGCCTCAAACAGACATAACCAGAAATGCTAATTAGGAAAAAAAAAGAAAGTTAGGATGCTTCATTAATAATTACAATGTGCTCTTACAATATAACCAGAATCAGAGTTCAAAAATAATTCATATTTTAATTAACTTCTTAAATATTTGCATGCAAGTCCAGTACGACTTGATCTTCAAAGACATAGTGCATCAGTATTCTCTAAATATTACTGTGGAGAGTTTTAATAAGTTTATGGTTATTATAAGGTTGGAAGTTATAGTTAATTACTTTTTCTCTCTTCCAACCTATTAATAGTCTTCATGAAAATAAATTAGTCCTTTTCCATATGCATGCATTATCACCAAGTGCAGCGATTTACTGATTACAAGGAAAGAATTGAAAGGATAAGAACCAAATCTCACATTAGAGATACAAACCTTGCTCCTACCTCCACTTCCCAACTCTTAGGCCTGAATCTTCTATTAAGTTAAACTATTAAAACTTTTAGGGAATTTATTGTTTTATTTTATTCCCAATCTGAATGGTCACAAATAGGGATACTGATAGTACCAGATTTAAACGTTACATTTTAGCAATATTTATTTTAATTTTTTTGCTATAATTTGTAAACCATTTGTGATTTCACCAAAATTCAAAATGCATTTCTCCTTGACCTCAGCTTTTCACCACAGTGCAACACTATTCGTTTCTTTTGACTCTTTAATCATTTCACTTCCTCTTGGATAATTTAATGTGTGTGCATGTATATGCTTACATGTTGGTGCTTAAGCAACAAAATAATCAAAAGATGAAGATCAGGATTCAGGTGAGAAAACTACTGCTCATCTTAAGTTAGAAAGTTGACAAGCTTCCCATCTTCAAATGTCTTGTAGAGCTCCCACAGAGATGTGAAGAAAAACATTTGTAAAAGTAATTAAGATTCTAGACATAGTTAGAACAACGTGATCATTCTTATGAAAGATATGAAAATCAGCAGATGAAAGAAACAGGATAATTTTTTGCTGTTCTTTTTTAACAATATCCCTCCACAAAGTAAACAAAAATACTGATTTGAAAAGATATATGCACCCTTATGGTTTATGGCAGCATTATTTACAATAGCCAAGATCTGGGAGCAACACACAAGTGTCCATCAATAGATGAATGGATAAATAAAATGTGGAATATTACTCAGCCATTAAAAAAGAGAGTCTTGCCATCTGCAATAAAATGGACAGACTTAGAGGGGATTATGCTAAGTGAAACCAGTAAGAAAAAGACAAATATCATATTAATTTATATGTAGAATGTAAAAGACAAAACAAACAAAGAATGGTCTCTTAAATACAAAGAATAAACTGGAGGCTATCAGAGAAGAGGTGGATAGAGGAATGAGCAAAATAGATAAAGGGGATTAAGAGGTTTTAAAAAACCCTTTCAATTATAAAATAAATATATCACAATGATGAAAAGTAAAGCACATGGAATATAATCAATTTATTGCAATAAATTCATATGGTGACAGATGGTGACTACTCTTACTGTGGTGAGTACTGAGTAATATGTAGAACTGTCTCAAGAATATGTTGTATGTCTGAAGCTAATATCTTATTG